CTGTGTTGTTCAAAGTGCTGAGCATACTTCTTCAACTCTGGATATGGACAACCAGGGCAGGGCATGAGAGCATTAAGCTCATCCCAAAGATCCCTCAGTTTCGAAAAATAATCAGATATGGTCATGGTTCCTTGAGTCAATGTATGAATTTCTCTATGGAGATAGAGAACTCTCGAACCATTCACTTTATCAAACATTCAGGGTCGTTTTCTATGATTACAAGGAGAAGAGTTATGTTAAAGATGTTGATTTATGGGTATATTTTGCAATTAAAGTTGCTAATGTTGAAGATTTTACACTTGAAATTGAATCTGGTGGTCAATATGAGGTTCCTCAGTTTGCATATAAGAATACATCGCTGAGGAATTTGGTTTTATGCGGCTGCAAACTGAACCCTTCTGGTAGTGTTAACTGGAGTAGTCTCGTCTCTCTTTCCATTAGGATCATTGAATTGACAGATGGTGCAATGGGAAAAGTATTATCTGGTTGCCCTAACTTGGAGTGCTTGGAACTGTATAATGTTTCGGGCATTCATCGTTTGGAAATTAGCTCTGTGAAGCTGAGAAAACTGATCATTGAAGACTACATGGATGGGAAGCTAGAAATATTAGCCCCATATATTCAGCATTTGCAAATTTCGGGGTTGTGCGATCAGATACACTTGTGCCAGAGAAATGTGGCTTCACTTGTCACCGCAGTCCTTGGCTATTCAAATTTTGAATGGAGATATGAAGAAGATAACTTCGAGGAGGAGTTTAGCTACTTGAAGGAATTTCTTCATGGTGTTGCCCAGGTTGAGAATCTTGAATTGGGTCCCTGGTACATCGAGGTCTGTTCATACTGTTTGCTATCCAATATTTAGAATCTTTTTTCGTTTTGCGACTTTTTATTTACTAGTTTAGTAACATTAACAGTGCCACTACTTAGGATAATCTGTTAACTAAGTTATTAAGTAGTAATTAATTAAATTCTCATGACAAGATCGATGGGACAGAGTGAGGTGATTTAAATAAGACCTTTTGGACTAAATTGTAGATGATGAACTGTGAGAGTAAAGTGGTTGCAATGGAAAGAACAACATGTTAAATTGGGATTATTTTACAGCGATCTTACTCATTTTAAGTCATGTGAACGGGTTTTTTGAAATGTTCAAAAGTCCATCGTCGGATTTCCAAACCGACCTTGAACACTTTGATGTGCAAAACGCATTCGCATTGTCCAAGTTGTTTTTACGAATTATTCAACAATTTGCATTTCATTTGTCAACTATGTTGCATTTCCTTGTTTTGACATAGTCTTGGTTTATCTATTTGGTTTATAAGCTCCTGTCCATATTGTCAGACAAGAGTGGGTTGCTCTAGTGGTAAGCACCCTCCACTTCCAACCAAGAGGTTTTGAGTTCGAGTCACCCCAAGAGCAAGGTGGGGAGTTCTTGGAGGGAGGGAGCCGAGGGTCTATCGGAAACAGCCTCTCTACCCCAGGGTAGGGGTAAGGTATGCGTACACACTACCCTCCCCAGACCCCACTAGTGGGATTATACTGGGTTGTTGTTGTTATTGTTGTTGTCCATATTGGAGTTGAAAGGCTGGCAGTCTCCACCATCAAGCCGGAAATTCTTAAAACTTAATGCAGCCTTGGATCAGTTGGACTTCCCTGGAGTTTGTAGCTTTCTACAGAGTTCATCGGATCTTGAGACATTGGTCATTGACTGGGACGATCATGATTCAAGAGTAAGTTTCCTTTAGACCTTTTTTTTGTTCATTTTATCAACACCAAACAACTATTAGTGGAAGAAGAAGATGTCACATATCAACACATTTCTAATTTCAAGTACTTTTGGAAAAACAAAATCATTGAAGATGTGGTATATTTCATAGATAATATGGTTACAAAGAGTGTGACTTGACTGCCTAACCTCTTCAAAAAAATAAAAAAAGGTAAAAATTGAACTGATTCAACCCTTAAAAGAAGATTGAGAAAGGTTCAATGTTTGACAGAAGTATCGGATTTAAGCCCCTAGTGTGTAAGCAAGAAGAGTGATTCTGTATAGGAGGAGGACTCCAATTTACACTGTGAAACTTAACTAGCCTAAGTACTTGATTAGCTTTACAACAATAGCTTATAACTTTGGATACTTGCTCCTCTGCACATTGTTCCCATAAGAACTAAAAAGGAAAAAATGTGAGGAGTATTCTCAAGTAACATGTGAACTCACAAAAAGATCTTACCGGGAAGTTTATCTTATTGCATTATTGGAGGTAAGCTTTGGGCTTTCTTTCGAATTCTGTAGGAAGGGAGCTTCCACTTGTACGTCTTGGTAGTGAGTTAAAGTTGTGATCAGTGATGAAGAGACTGAAATTTTGAAAGGTTTGGTTACAATTTGTGAAAAGACTTCTGTTTCCTCTTCAAGTTTGGATATTTCCTTTTTTGTTTGTCCAAAATTTCAACTTTTTGCCTTATTGTGAGTTGTGGAGAATACTAGTATATGTTTTCATCGGGTTCGAATTAATAGGGCTTTAGAAACTATTTTAGTTCAGCTCCGTTCTCATCATTTTTCTGTGTTTAAGCTCAAGACTTTCAGTTTGTTCTCCCTTCTTTGAAGAACACAAGAATTATTTGCAGTTTTGTATTGCTGTGTGTTTGAATTTAGAGCTGAAACTGTTATGAATAGACAGAACCATGTAGCCAACTTTTGTTGATAAGTAAGGTAAATTTTATAAATGGAATGGACAGCACTAAGAAAGTTGTCTAAATTTACATATTGTGCAATTTCCTGATCATATCTAACAAGGAATCTACATTATTTACATAGGCCAAGTTGCACTGAAAAGGTAGCAAGGAAATACAAATAAACTTAAGGCTATGTATATTCCTCCTTTTGCCTTCAAAAATTCTGTTGTTTAAATAGTAGCCAGTTGCAACTCCTCTATATGTTGCAGGACAGTAAAGACTTATTTGTGTTTTCGTATTTCTCTGTTCTCATCATTTTTCTCTAGCTTCTCTTGGTAGTGAGTGAAAGCTGAAAAATTTCTTCTCTGCGTCCAATAGGTGGCTCTATCCAGCTAAAGAATCAGCCACACCTTGACTTCTTTACCTTGAATTAACTTTTTAATCTCTTCAATAACACGTACATATAGTGCACAGAAGGTTATGCAACTCCCTTGACAGGATTCATAATAAGTAAAAAGTCAGCTTCCACCCAACTGTAAATGTGAACTCACAAAAACATCTAACCGGAACGTTTATATTGTTGCATTATTGGAGGTAAGCTTTGTTTTTTTTAAATTAATTTTGAAGGAAAGGAACTTCCACTTGTACGTCTTGGTAGTGAGTTAAAGCTGTGATCAGTGGTGAAAAGACTGATATTTTGAAGGGTTTGGTTAGAATTTGTGTAGAGACTTCTATTTCCTCTTCAGGTTTGGATATTTCCTTTTTTGTTTGTCCAAGATTTCAACTTTTTGCCTTATTGTGAGTTGTGGAGAATATTGGTATATGTTTTCATTGAGTTTGAATTTATGGGGATTTAGAAATTATTTTAGTTCAGCTCTGTTCTCATCATTCTTCTCTGCGTCCAATAGGTGGCTCTATCCAGTTAAAGTATCAGCTACACGCCCACACCTTGACTTCTTTACCTTGAATCAACTCTTTATTCTCTTCAATAATAGGTTCGTCGTGCCCAGAAGGTTTTGCAACTCCTTTGACAGCATTCAAAATAAGTGAAAAGTCTGCTTCCACCCAAATGTTTCTATTATCATCTTCAGGACAACATCTAAGCCCATAGGGAAATGCAAATTCTTCAACCATATTGTTTATTTTATGGCCTAGTGAGTACACATGCCATTATAATATCACTAGCTAAGTTGGTCGGACGCGGGTGCAGGTGTCCGATACGGGTGCGGATCTAGAGGTCGGCTTCGAGATTTAAATTCTAAGATTCTGGGATAAGGATCCTAGTACGGATACGGGTGCGGGGATCCGACTAAAAATAATTCCAAAAAATAAAAATATCTCTAACTTATGAGAAATTTTGTGAAATACTTATGTTTAGCCGGTAAAGTGTGGATTTTTTTTATTCTCAAGTTGTAGATAAGTATATGATTGATTTCTAAGGTATGCTATTTTTTTCAAATTTACCCTAGTTTTGGTTCTAATTTCGGTAATCAAATTGTATCTCGTCTCGAATTTTTCATCTGGCATGGTCAAAGTACCCAAAATTGTTTGACCAAATCCGGTGCGGATCCCACACCCACACCCATACTAGCGTCGTGTCGACATGGGTACTGCACCTAAACTATCATGCCGAAGCAACTTAGATCACCAGAATAGTTTCTCACTATACCACCTTCTCCACATTTTCCTTGTCTACAACTGTTATCCATGTTTAGTTTTACGCGTCATGGATCAGATTTGCAACATTTACAATAGTGCTTGTCCATCTATGTGAGTATTTCTGAATGTTGTGATAGAAATCGCTCCCGGGAATTCGTAGTTAAAATTCTGGAAATTTCATTTGAATTCTTTTTTTGCAAGGATTTCGGAGTCTACATTTTAGTCTTCAAAGTTGATGGATTCTCTTTGCTAAATCTACTGCAGCAGCATGCTTATTATTCTTTTGTTGTTATAAACGTTATAGTCTGCTTGAGTTGCTGAGATAGAGAAATTTCATGTTGTCACTATCGAAATTGTTTCTATGAGTCAGCAAGTTCGACATTCAACTTTTTGGTAGTTGTAGGAAAAAAGATGTTTAATAAGGGGGATTGTACTCGGTACTCACCTTCAATGAAGATTTGAAACATCTTATAAATGATCGGTTTCAATGAAGATTTGAAACATCTTTTTTCTTGTTTGCCTGTACCACTTTGTAACATTTGCGAAGCACTTGACATGTTCCTTGAATCTAGAAATTCATCACCTTTTTATTTTATCCACAATCAACTCCTTGGTTATCTACTTCCATCTGAGGAGAATAAATGGTTAATATAGTAGGTTTTTTCCTGCAGGACCTACTGTCAACGTACACAAATGAGGATGAACAGCACAGGAGGTTTGAGACATATAATTTTAACAGCTCATTGCTACATTTAAAGACCATCAAGATCATTAACTTTGATGGACCACTAAGTGGAAATAAGTCTATACAGCCGTTGGTGAAATATTTGCTCAAGCATGCAACAGTGCTAGAAAAGTTCGTCATTGCCGCCAGATACAAAAGGAGTGATGTGTCTCGGGATTATGTTAAAATGGAGCAGGAGTTCCTAAGCTTTCCAAGATCCTCTCCGCATGCCTATTTGGCAGGTCCCTATTGTTTGAATCAATTGCAACATACTTAGCAGCTGTTACGTTATGTTTTAAACTGGTTTTGTAACTGCAAGACAAGGTTAGGATTGACTTGTCAGTATCCAAGGAGTTGTTAATAGTTCTTCATCATGTCTCAGTGACAATATGTTTATTCTCTGATCATCATGTAAGAAAGTTTGCTCTAAATGTTTGATTTCTATTCATATTGCTGAATCTTGATCATGTTTTTATATTATGTGTACAAGGACTTGTTTCTGTTGGCATATGTTATTTTAGTTGGTGGAGAAAATATTTATGGAGTTGGACAGCATGTGTGCTGTGGGTATTACAAAAGGAAAGAAATAGCATGTTCTTTGAAAGAAATGCAGAAGCTACTCGTGACTGAAATAAGTGTTTGAATTTAGTTAGTTTTTGGTGTAAATTGAAAAGTCTATTTCTTTGATAGACTTTACATTCAGGAGCAGCCTCAGGTGTACATAGTTTTTTGTACTCAACAGCATGGTCTTTATGCTCGGCCAGTTATATTCATTTTCTGCAGTTTATAGTGCCACACAATTCATCTGTTCTGTAGGTTGGTTCTTTTGGTTGCAAATTTCTTGAAAGACTATTAATCCTAGTTCAGAGAGTTGTTAATGCAACTTGAAAATTTTCGCAGGGCACCAATTTTACCAAAAAAAAGAAAAATAAAAGTCCATGGCTGTGATAGACTTTGCCTTAAGGAGTAGCCTGAGTTGTATATAGTTCTCGTACTCACCAGCATGGTCTTTGTGGTTAGGATATACTCCAAATGTAGTGTATTTTTAGAGGATCCACCACGGGTGCGACAATATTTTAGAGAATCCGCACAATGTGGACTATGATTATAATTTATAAGATATTAGTTTCTGGACACACACTTTGCACCTGTATATCTTGTGTTAGTTATTAAGAAAAAAAAAACTTTAATTGTATACATATTCTAAAAGTATTTGTTTGAGTTGTAAAGTCTTTATGTAATGTTAAATTACTGTATTAAATTGTGACCAATTAATTCCACTTGACTGTCTCGATATCCCAATATAGTTTGAGAGACTACCTTTTTCCTTCATTTACCAAGACACACTGAAGATGAAACTTCTTGAAAAGGAACCGTTCTTGAAAAATATTAGTCTTAGAAACAAAGGTATTTTCTTCTTTCATTTCTTTAATATGGTTCCTTTTTAATTGAAGATTAACAATTACTCCCTCCGGTTCAATATTTAATTAATTTTTTGGTCTTATTTTTATGGTCCATAATATTTGTTTTTTCAGATATCTAAGAAGGAATTAGCTTTTTTTTTCCCAAAGTTGTCCTTAAAGTATAGAGCTTAAGAGTAGTTGTTATATTTTCAGTGAATAAATTAAGGTTAATATGGTAATTTTATTGTTAATTAATGCTAAAAGGTGAATTCATTAATATGTGTAAAAACAACCAAAAAATCAATTAAGTGGACCGGAGGGAGTATGTACTAACAACCGCTCTACCTTCACAAGGTAGGAGTAAGGTCTCGTACACATTATACTCCTCACACCCCACTTGTGAAATTACACTGAGTTTGTTATTATTGTTGTTGTTTACTAATAATTATGTACCAAGACCGAAAAACCGAAAAGTTTGTAAATGTTCCAAGGACAAATTAATAAAACTCTACAAGAAATAATGAATAATAGGTATAAAGGAAAAGTAAATATTAGTATTTGGACACCTCCCTTGCACGTATATCCTATATGAATTATTACATAATTTATGTATTCATTATATTTTACTTTCTTTTTTTTTTTAATCTGCTTCAATAAGAATACCACTTTTTATGTTTAGTAACTTCTTAGTTTTAATATTCTACATGACGTATTTAAGATCACAAGATTCTATCGTCCAAACAGGCCGGTCGTTCTAAGTTCCGGGGTTGGGTCGGATAGGACCAGATCCAATCGGATCTGATCGTAGCTTCGAGTTCAGGTGCCGTACTGCGGCCGGACCGGAAAGGAGGGGGCAGCGAACCTCCTGCCAAGAGGCCAAGGTTGCTTGCTAACTCTCAGCTACTTGTTAGAAGGAAGTGCAGCTTGATTGTCGGGGGGAATCAACGAGAAGGAAAAAATAAGGTAGATTATTCTATTTCCTCCTTTGGTAAGGATTGGCTTTTTGTTCAAGGGTATGTTTTTCAATAGCATATATGTACATTATACGCTTTTTTCCCTTAAGACACGATTTAAATCATGCTTATTTACACCTAAAATGTGACGGAGGAGTATAAACTGACCAATTTTAATTGCACACATGATATACAAAACTATCACGAAAACAAAAAAGGTTGAAAATCAGATCATTAACTAATTTGAGAACTTGAGCTTACACCTTTGGAATTGATATGTTGGAGCAATAGTAAAGTTATCTCCGTATAACCTATAGATCACGGGTTCGAGCCATGGAATCAATTACTGATACTTGTGATATCGGGCTATAATTTCATATATTTGGATGTTATTCACCTTACTTGTTTGTTGTATGGATGCTAATTCGTGCGACATTTGAGCTTAATTGAGTTTATTTTACGTGTAGGAACACTTGGATATGAAGTGGAGAAAAATTATAAAAAATGGTACCTCGAAGGTACAAAATAGAGCACAAAAAGAAGACATTGTAAGGTCATGAAAAGTTACCGCCTTAGACAGTGAAAGGCCATAAAAACTCACAGTCTGAGACAAGCAAGGGTTTGTCCATAACATTAACTTTGTCGCCCCTGATGATGCAAGGCCGCGTAGTGTTGGCGCCTTGCACTGTTATTTTGGCGCTTCTGATGCTGCCCCCGTGTTGATGGTTTCTATCCAAGCACCTTTGATTTCCTCTTTTAATTTTGGACTTGTACACTTTAGCCCTACCATATAAATACCTCTTAAAGTTAGTTTTTAAAGAGGTAGACATTATTGGAGATATAAGGTTACAGAACGAATCACCGGAGTTTTCTCTCCATTCTTCCTTAATATGTAGTTTAATACTTTCAAATCTTATTATGATTGTTTATACAATTATGAGTTAAACTTTATTATCTAGGGTTTGATGGAACCTATTGGAGGATGATTTTCCATTGCGTTTAATGTAAATCTGCCATTGACTTTTCTCTACCTGTTCAACTATGTTTTTATTGTTGTTGATTGAAAGTGCCCTCAATTGAAAGTGCATATTTAGTGTGTATTTCTTAAAAAATAGTGCACATTTAGATAGTTGTTGAACAACACAACTCCTAACGTATATGAGGAATCAATACAGAGGTTTTAAATGTGAGTTTATGTAACGACCCGACCGGTCGTTTTGAGAATTTAAGTCTCGTTTGGCGGCATAAGACCCTGAGCAGCTTCATATTATGTGTATTGACTTGCGTGCGTGGTTAAATTCGGTTACCAGATATTTCGGAGTGATTTAGGACACTTAGTCCCTAAAACGGAAGCTTAAGTCTTAGGATTTTGACCGTAGTCGGAACTATGTGAAGACGACTCCGAAATGGAGTTCTGTCGGTTCCATTAACTTTATTGGGTGATTTTGGACTTAGGAGCGTGTCCAGACTGTAAATCCGAGGTCAGTAGCTGAATTAGGCTTGAAATGGCGAAAGTCAAATTTTTGGAGATTTGGATCGGAAGTGAACTTTTTGATATCGGGGTCGGAATGCGATTCCGAGAGTTGGAACAACTCCGTTATGTTATTTGGGATTTGTCTGTAAAATTTGACGTCATTCCGGGTTGATTCGATAGGTTCCGGTACGGGTTTTAGAAGTTGAAAGATTTAAAAATTTATAAGTTCGATTTATGGTGCGATTCGTAGTTTCGACGTTGTTTGATATGATATGAGACCTCAGGCGGGTCCGTGTTAGGGTATAGAACTTGTTGGTATGTTTGGACGAGGTCCCGAGGGTCCCGATTATTTTTCGGACAAGTTGCGGATGATTTCCATAGTTTTGGGGAGGTCTGAGTTCTGATGTAATCGCACCTGCGGACCTTGGGCGCAGGTGCGATGGTCGCAGGTGCGAAGATGAAGGGGCAGGTGCGAAGATGAAGGCGCAGGTGCGAGAAGAGCTGGACTTGGCAGCCTCCGCAGATGCGGAGAATTTATGCGCATCAGCGGCTCCGTAGAAGCGGATTTTGGCGAGCAGAAGCGAGAGGAAGTGCGGGTGCGGTTTGGACGTGCGCACCCGCAGTCGCGCAGATACGGCTAATTATGTCGCAGGTGCGGTCACACCTGGGCAGAAAAGAGAAATTCGAGGGTTTGATTTCATTCTTCGTTTTTGGACTTGAGAGCTCGGAATTTGGCGATTTTTCGAGGGATTTTCAGAGGAAGCTTTGGGGTAATGATTCCTAACTCGTTTTTGGTTGTATTCCATTAATCTATTATTGTTTTCTCCATTTAGTTTCGGATTTTTGGGGTTAAAATTGGGAAAAATTGGAAGAACTTCTTCAATAAAGATTTCGAGTTTTGAAAGGGGATTTGTGGTCGGATTTGAGTAATTCTTATATGGTTGGACTCGTGAGTGAATGGGTGTTCATATTTTATAATTTTTATCTGATTCCGAGACGTGGGCCCGGGTCGACCTTTTAGGGCAAATTTCAAATTTTTTGTTAAAATATTGATTTCATTAATTAGATGAGTCTATTATCGTTATATTCATGATATGCAATTGTGTTTGGTTAGATTTGGACCATTCAGAGTCGGATAATTGAGGAAAGAGCATTCTTACGGACTGTTTGAGCTTGGTTCGAGGTAAGTATCTTGCCTAACCTTGTGTGGGGGATTTTTCCCTTAGGATTCGAGTCTTCTATGTTGATTGTAGTCCATGCACGTGATATGACGAGTGGGTGCTCAGACTTATTTGTGAAAAGTTGGTCTTTTAGGATTCTTAGGTCCTTATATTCACTGAGTATGAAGTTGTTCTTGATATGATTAAGTTCTTATTTACTAGTTTCACCTTTACATGCTTTAATTAGAATTAATTGCTTTCAGGATTCACTCTTCTTTGACTTAACTGAAGATTTTACCTCCTCTATTGTCATGCTATCTTTTCATAACTGCTTATCTTTATTTGAAATTATTATTATATCATCTTATAATTTGTTCAGTCTTAATTGAGGTTATGATTATCTTTCCGCTGCTTATCCTTAATTAAATTATTGAAAATCCTTAGAAATTTCTCAATATCCTATATCTTAGTCGACTTATTTTATTTGGAATTATTTGACTCGTGTTAGTTTCCCTGTTGTTGAAATGTATATTGTGGGATCGTTGATACACATTAGTTTCCCTTTATTGAGATGTTCTCTTTACGCCTAGCATTCCTTATTGTGGTTATTCCTTGTGAATTGGTTCTATCGTTTCTTTGTGAATTAAAGTTCTCGAATTGATTTACTTGTCGTACTTTGTATTATTGTCATTGTTGCTATGGTACTTGTTGGGTGATGCACGAGGTTTCTGTTGTGTGGTTGTTATTATTGCGATGCACGAGGTTTCTGCCGTGCGGTTGTTATTATGGGGTTGCATGAGGTTTCTGACATGCTATTNATATATGGGTTGCGCATGTGGCGAAACAAGGTGGGAATATAATTATGTACGTGTGGCAAGACAATGTGGGCATTTATGTTACTATTGCACACGTGGCGAGACAAGGTGGACTGTGTCAGAGATTGATTTGTGATGATTTGTGGCGTGGGGGCATTCTTGTTGTTGATATTTGTGAAGTGGTATACATACATGTGTGAGATTTATCTTGTGAAAGCTGTGAGAAAATATTCTACGTGCTGTCCGTTCTTTTTCCTTATGCTTATTTGCTGATGTGGCCTATGGTAGGACACTTTCACAAGCATACACGTAGTTAAGCACTCTTATCGGATAAGAGGTATTCTTGATATTGTTGAGCATAGATGCTCACCCTTGTTTACTTGCCTTCTATATGAGAATGACTCTATTGGCACGTGAGTCGTCAGTGCGGTTATGAGGTGTTATGAGGGCACAAAATGCCAGGTGTTAGGGTTCAGGTATTGATACCCGTGAGTTGTGATATGTCCGAGGTTCGATACCTCGTGGAGTTGTTGACTAAAACCTGATGTAAAAGCGGTTGTAGTTACTGAGTTATTACATGTCCTTGTTGTATTTGTGATTTTGGATTTAGGTTGTGTTCCATTCACCTTTCTGTATCATTTTTATGATATTTCGCTGATACTTGTTGTTTCCTTCCTTATTGCCATTACTGTACTGTGAGCCATATTGCATAGTCTTTATGTAGACATCATACTTCTGTTGTTCATGTACTTATATTTGTTCAGTTTATTAGATCAATGGGTTTCTTGACTCTTTCTCGTTACTACTCTACCGAGGTTAGTCTTGATACTTATTGGGCACCGTTGTGGTGTGCTCATGCTACTCTTCTGTACATTTTTATGCAGATCTAGGTAGTTGTTCGTTAGCTAGCTGTGGAGACTCAAGGTAAACCTACTGCTGCATTCGCAGGCTTCGGAGTCACCTTCCAGTTTTCATTTTGCACTGTTTATTCTTATTTCTGAACAGTTGTATTTAGAAGTTTTTCTAGCAAACACGCTGTAGAGCTTATGACTTGTACTATCGGTTTTGGGAATTGTAAGAGATTCTATTTAATTAATGTTGTTGTTTTAATTATTGTTAGGTTTACCTAGTCCCTAAGACTAGGTGCCATCACGATACCCAAACAGAGGGAAAATTGGGTCGTGACAGTTTAGAAATAATGAAACCTTGGTGCGATCTTAATGAGCAGTGAACTAGTGCCAGATAGCGTAGTTTGGAAGAATATGTCTAGTAAATTGTGTCAGTTGCTCGGAAGAGAATTACGACACCCGAAGTACTCACGATCGATAGAGAATTCTTAGGCGAATTTATAGGAAACGTAGCGGGGAGGATTCCAAAGATTGAGGATATCATAACCCTAGACTTTTCCAATCTTGTCTACACCATTTGCTTTGTTAATTATAAATTATAATATTTTAATTACTTTACTCTTAGTTAGTAAACACTCTAACTCATTATTTAATATTTCTGGAGGTTAAATACTTGAATTCTTGCGAAACTAATGGTTGTGCTTAATGGAGATGTATTATTCACTCTTTAAAAGATTAATTAATTAAATTACCAAGAACAATTTTCAAGTTGATTAATAGTTCCGGATAAAAAAAATAGAAAAAAGCAAGAAACAAAAAATACAAGAGTAATACTTGAAAATCAAACTATAAATGAAAAAATAATAATCATAACTTTACAAAACAATTAAAGAACATGAATATATGCCTCGTCCTTTGCGTATTAGAACCGTCACTTCAGTTACCTACAATTTTAAATTATTAGAACTTGAGTATTTAATAATGACTAGTTTTAGGGTACGCGATTTACGCGTGTACCCAATACAAATAAATATATTATTTTAAAAAAAAATTAAATAATATGATTGGCTTGTAAAATAAAAGTTAAAAAAAGTATAAGCTACTAAAAAGATGATTGTTGATCGCGAAGAAATCTTGACTATAGAAATCCTCAAATACATAATTGTGATTTATGAGGACTTCTGAGAGAATATTTTATGAAAATTATTGATATATTTGTGACCTAAGTAAACAAATAATAAGATTTCTCAAATAAAATAAATTTAAAAATTAAATATTTTGGTCTTTTGGGAATAAAGATGTTGGCTTATACTAGCTCATAAAAAAATTGGATAAGTCAAAACATCTAAAAATTACTAATGTGGCCTTAATATTTTACAACAAATAATTAAATATATAGAAATATCGAAAATCGTCATTTGTTGAAATAATTAAAAAGACGATGACAATTTGTTAAGAATAGATTTCGTCTATAAGTTGAATATATTTTTTTATTAAAATTAGGACACCAACGATGATATCTTTCTTCTTTCATTGGTTAACAAAGAAAATTGCATCTTGCTGAGCCTTAAGTTTTATTTTTCTCATAAATGAAAATATTTTGTTTTTGTTCTTCATGCATATAGCATGCGTGAGCCCTTTATATTATGACTATTGCATAGAAGTTCATATATAAAAGGATTTAATGTGCAAATTTTTTAGTTGATTTTAAATTTTTATATTTTAGAAAAATAATTTAATAACTATTTTATCCAATGTGAAAGTTATTTTTAAAAGATAAAAAAAACGAATAATATTTCGCTAAGGGTTTCTTGCTATAAAAAATTATTATTTGTTGAAATACTTAGAAAAGAGATAATGACAATTCGGTTAGAATAAAATTTGTCTATAAGTTCAATAACGTTTTCTATCAAACTATGGGCAGACAAAGATGATATTTTATTGGCCGAGGGAAGCAAATTGTAATCTTGGTGATTCTAAGTTTTCTTTTCCTCAGAAATATTTTGTTTCCATTCTTGTATGAGTCCTATATATGTTAGGACTAATTTCATAGGAGTTCAAAACATGGAAGGATTTAATATGTACTAAAATTTTAGTTAATTTAAATTCCTAAAAATTTGGAAAAAAGCTTAAATTATATTTTTTGTCTGATTTGAAATTTATTTTTATAGGGCAAAAAGACGAATAATATTTAGCTAAGTGTGTTCGTACTTTTAATATGACCAAACAATACTACCATAATAATAATACATGTTATTTATTATAGTGTAAAATATTGACTATCTCCTTAAATTCTTCATTATAAAAATATTTTAAATTTAAAATACTCCAATGGAAACACAGAGCAAAATCATGGCGAGAGGAGATAGAGACCGACTGAGTGATTTGCCCGACGAAATTCTAATTCACATCCTCTCTATGTTGCCGGAGAGTGACAATAAATTAATTGTGAGAAGCAGCGTATTATCTAAACGATGGAGATTTCTTTGGAAGGCCGTCCCAATATCACTCGATTTCGGCCGATTCGTGGTAAAAGGGAATCGTGATTTCGTGGGTTCCGTCAACAGAGAGCTTCATTATTGGAGATCTTTCGAGAAAATTCGAACATTCAGGGTCGTTCTCTATAATTACGAGGAGATGAGTAAAGTTAAAGATGTTGATTTATGGGTATATTTTGCAATTAAAGTAGCTAATGTTGAAGATTTTACACTTGAAATTGAATCTGATAGTCACTTATATGAGTTTCCTCAGTTTGCATATAAGAATACATCGCTGAGGAATTTGGTTTTAAGCGGCTGCAAACTGAACCCTTCTGGTAGTGTTAACTGGACTAGTCTCGTCTCTCTTTCCATTAGGAACATTGAATTGACAGATGGTGTAATGGGAAAAGTATTATCTGGTTGCCCTAACTTGGAGTGCTTGGAACTGTCCGTCCCAATATCACTCAATTTATTTGTAAAAGGGAATCGTGATTTCGTGGGTTCCGTCAACAGAGAGCTTCATTATTGGAGATCTTTCGAGAAAATTCGAAAATGCATGATCGTTCTCTATAATTACGTGGAGATGAGTAATGTTAAAGATGTTGATTTATGGGTATATTTTGCAATTAAAGTTGCTAATGTTGAAGATTCTTCACTTGAAATTATTCTTCAAAATGAATATGAGTTACCTCAGTTTGCATATAAGAATACATCGCTGAGGAATTTGGTTTTAACCCGCTGCAAACTGAACCCTTCTGGTAGTGTGAACTGGACTAGTCTTGTTTCTCTTTCAATCAGGAGACATAGATTGACGGAGGGAGTAGTGGAAAAGGTATTATCCGGTTGCCCTAACTTGGAGTGCTTGAAATTAGTACAAGTTTGGGGCATTCATCGTTTGGAAATCAGCTCTGTGAAGCTGAGAAAACTGATTATTGAAGAGTACACATATGGGAAGCTAGAAATATTAGCCCCATATATTCATCATTTGCAAATTTCGGGGTCCTGCAAAGGGATACGCTTAAAGCAGAAAAATGTGGCTTCACTTATCACCACAGATCTTGACTATTCAAATTTTTATGAGAATTTGGAGGAGGAGTTAAGCTGTTTGAATGAATTTCTTCACGGTGTTGCCCATGTTGAGAATCTTGAATTGAGTCCCTGGTGCATTGAGGTCTGTTCATACTCTGCGCTATCCAATATTTAGAATCTCTTTTCGTTTTGCAACTTTTTATTTACTAGTTTAGTAACATTAACAGTGCCACTACTTACGATAATCTATTAATTAATTTATTAAGTAGTTAATAATTAAATTCTCATGACAAAATCGGTTGGACAATGGCAGGTGTTTGAGATAAGACCTTTAGAACAAAATTTTGGACAATGAACTGTGAGAGTAAAGTGTTTTCAATGGACCGAACAACATGTTAAATTGGGATTTGTTTTACATTGATCATACACTTTTAAGTCATGTGAATGGATTTTTTGAAATGTTCAAAAGTTCATCTTCTGATTTCCAAACCGACCTTGAACACTTTGATGTGCAAAACGCAGTCGCATTGTCCAAGTTGTTTTTACGAATTATTCAACAATTTGCATTTCATTTGTTAACTACGTCACATTTCCTTGTTTTGACATATTCTGGTTTTTCTATTTGGTTTATAAGCTCCTGTCCCTATTGGAGTTGAAAGGCTGGAAGTCTCCACCATCAAGCCGGAAATTCTTAAAACTTAATGCAGCCTTGGAACAGTTGGACTTCCCTGGAGTTTGTAGCTTTCTACAGAGTTCATCGGATCTTGAGACATTGGTCATTGACTGGGACTATCATGATTCAAGAGTAAGTTTCCTTTAGACCTATATTTTTGTTCATTTTATCAATCACCAAACAACTATTAGTGGAAGAAGATGTCACATATCAACACATTTCTAGTTTCAAGTACTTTTGGAAAAAAAAAAAATCATAGAAGATGTAAGAATTGAACTGGTTCAACCCTCAAGGGAAGATTGAGAAAGCTTCAATGTTTGACAGAAGTATCGGATATAAGCAAAACCTTCGTGGCACTATGACCCTATTATGGAAAAGATTATAGAGTTGATTTAAGGTAAAGAAGTCAAGGTGTGGCTGATTCTTTAGCTGGATAGAGCCACCTATTGGACGCAGTCACGCAGAGAAGAAATCTTTCAGCTTTCACTCACTACCAAGAGAAGCTAGAGAAAAATGATGAGAACAGAGCTATACAAAAAATGCAAATAATTATTTACCGTCCCGCAACATATAGAGGAGTTGCAACTGTATGTTTGACAAGAAGTTGGCTAAATGGCTACTATTTAAACAACAGAATTTTTTACGGCAAAAGGAGGAATATACATAGCCTTAAGTTTAGTTATATTTCCTTGCTAGTTTTCTGGTGCAACTTGGCCTATGTAAATACGTAGATTCCTTGTTAGATATGATCAGGAAATTGCACAATATGTAAATTTAGACGAACTTTCTTAGTGCCTTCCATTCCATTTATAAAATTTACCTTCCTTATCCCCCAAAAAAAAAAAAGTTGGCTACATGGTTCTGTCTATTCATAACAGTTTCAGCTCTAAATTCAAACACACAACAATACAAAAATGTAAATAATTCTTGTGTTCTTCAAAGAAGGGAGAACAAACAGAAAGTCTTGAGCTTAAAGACAGAAAAATGATGAGAACAGAGCTGAACTAAAATAATTTCTAAAGCCCTATTTATTCGAACCGGATGAAAACATATACTAATATTCTCCACAACTCAAAATAAGGCAAAAAGTTGAAATCTTGGACAAACAAACAAGGAATATCCAAACCTGAAGAGGAAATAGAAGTCTTTTCACAAATTGTAACCAAACCCTTCAAAATGTCAGTCTTTTCATTACCAAGACATACAAGTGGAAGCTCCCTTCCTTCAGAATTCGAAAGAAGGCCCAATAATGCAACAAGATGAACTTCCCGATTAGATCTTTTTGTGAGTTGACAAGTAACTTGAGAATACTCCTCACATTTTCTCCTTTTTAGTTCTTATGGGAACAATGTGCAGAGGAGCAAGTCTCCAAAGTCAGAAGCTATTGTCGTAAAGCTCATCAAGTACTTAGGCTACTTATGCTTCACATCATAAATAGGAGTCCTCGTATACAGAAACACTCTTTTTGCTTACACACAACAGCATTCACAATAATTTAAGAGTCAGTTTCCACCCAAATGTTTCTAATACCATGTTTAGGACAACTTTTAAGCCCATGGGAAAGTGCAAATGCTTCAGCCATATTGTTTGTTCCATGGCCTAGTGAGTGTATATTCCATAATAATATAATCTGAACAGTTCCTCGCTATGCATCTGCTCCACAATGTCCTTGTCTGCAATTGCCATTCGTTTTTAGTTTTACGCATCCTTGATCAGGTTTGTTCATGGCCTAGTGAGTATTTCTCGATGTGTTCACAGAGATTGCTCCAGGTAATGCGTAGATAGAGAAATTTCTTATTGTTACTATCAAAATTGATTCTGAGTAAGCAAGTTCGACAGCCAGCTTTGTTGTAGTTGTAGCAAAAAGATGTTTTAATAGGGGAGGGTTGCACTCAGTACTCACCTTCATGCTGGGAGATAAAGGATTGGCTTCAATGAAGCTTTGAAACATCTTTTTTCTTGTTTGCATGTACCACTTTGTAACATTTGCGAAGCACTTGACATGTTCCTTGAATCAAGAAATTCATCACCTTTTTATTTTGTACACAATCAACTCCTTGGTTTTCTACTTACATCTAAGGAGAATAAACGGTTAATATAGCAGATTTTTTCTTGCAGGAGATACTGTCAAAGTACACAAATGAGGATGAACAGCGCAGGAGGTTTGAGACATATAATTTTAACAGCTCATTGCTACATTTAAAGACCATCAAGATCATTAACTTTGATGGACCATTAAGTGGAAATAAGTCTATACTGCCATATATAAAATATTTTCTCAAGAATGCAACAACGCTAGAAAAGTTCGTCATTGCAGCCAAATTCAAAGGGAGTGATGTGCCTCAGGATTATGTTAAAATGGCACAGGAGTTCCAAAGCTTTCCAAGATCCTCTGCGCAAGCTTCAGTTGTCTTTTCATATTGATAACATTTTGCCCCTATCATTTGTTACCCTAGCTGTTACTTTATGTTTTGAGATTGGTTTTGTAGCTTATAGAGAATGTTAAGATTGTGCTTGTCCTTTTCCAAGGAGTTGTTAGTAGCTCTTGATATCTAAGTCACAGCGTGCGAAAGCTTGCTCTAAATGTTTTGTGATTTCTATTATTTTGGCTGAATGCTGATAATGATTTTATACTATGATTTTTTTTAGGGTGAAAATTATTTTGAAGGGAATAGTATTTCAAGATTCATTATGTATCCATGGACTAGTTTCTGTTGGCCTGTGTTGTTTTTAATTCAACAACAACAACAAACCCAGTTTGATCCCAACATGTGGGGTCTGGGGAGGGTAGTTTGTACGCAGACCTTACCCCTACTTAATGCAGGTAAAGAGGAAAGCAAGGAAGGAAGAAAGATGGAAGAGAAAAGAAAAGGGAGAGATAAAGGATAAGTAGTACCAAATAATAGCAACAGGGAATACAATACCTGAGGCGAACAAAATCACATAGCGTAATAAAAATCTAAGAATATGAAGGGACATGCATGCTACTAAGACTATCGGTGAACAACTATAAACTACCTACTAACCTTCTACCTTAATTCTCGACCTCAACACCCTCCTATCAAGGGTCATGTCCTCAGTGAGCTGAAACAGTGTCATGTCCTGCCTAATCACCTCTCCCCAGTACTTCTTAGGCCTACCTCGACCTCTTCTCAAATTCTCCATGGCCAACCTCTCACACCTCCTGACATGAAAATCAATGCTTCTTCTCTTAACATGTCCGAACCATCTCAGCCTCGACTCCCGTATCTTGTCCTCCACGGAAGCTACTCCCACTCTGTCCCGGATAGTCTCATTCTTAATCCTATCTCTCCTCGCACACCCACACATCCATCTCAACATTCTCATCTTTGCTACTCTCATCTCCTGCACGTGAGAGTTATTGACTAGCCAACACTCAGCCCCATACGTTTGACTAGCCAACACTCAGCCCCATACGTCATAACTGGTCGAACCACCACTCGATAAAACTTATCCTTAAGTCTTAGCGGCACATTCCTATCACACAAAACACAGGAAGCGAGCCTCCACTTCATCCATCCCGCTCCGATGCGATGTGCGACATCTTCGTCAATCTCCCCGTTACCCTGGATAATAGACCCGAGATACTTAAAACTCGCTCTCTTGGGGATAACTTAAGCATCAAGCTTAACCTCTACGTCTGCATCATGGGTCCCGTCACTGAATTTGCATTCCAAGTATTCTGTCTTGGTTCTACTCAGTTTGAAACCTTTAGACTCCAAGATCTGTCTCCAAACCTCTAACCTCGCGTTAATTCCGCTACGCGTCTCATCAATCAACACTATATCATCGGCAAATAGCATGCACCAAGGCACTTCCCCTTGGATGTGACGCGACAGTACATCCATCGCCAAGGCAAATAAAAATGGGCTAAGAGTCGATCCCTGGTACAACCCCATCACCACAGGGAAATGCTTCGAGTCACTACCCACAGTTTTAACCCGAGTCTTAGCATCATCATACATATCCTTAATCACCCTAATGTATGCTACCGGAACACCGCTAACCTCCAAACACCTCCACATGACCTCCCTCGGAACTTTATCGTATGCCTTCTCAAGGTCAATAAACACCATATGCAAATCCTTCTTCCTCTTCCTGTACTGCTCCACTAATCTCCTTACTAGATGAATCGTTTCCGTAGTCGAACGCCCCTGCATGAATCCAAACTGATTCTCAGAAATAAACACACACCTCCTCACCCTGCCCTCCACCACCCACTCCCAAACCTTCATAGTGTGACTCAACAACTTGATACCCCTATAATTGTTGCAATTTTGGATATCACCCTTGTTCTTGTAAAGCGGAACCATCGTACTCCACCTCCATTCTTCGGCCATCTTCTTTGTCTTAAAAATAACATTAAACAGCCCAGTGAGCTACTCCAAACCTGCCTGCCCCGCGCTCTTCCAGAATTCTACCGGGATTTCATCTGGCCTCGTCGCTCTGCCCCTGCACATCTTACGCATCGCCCCTTCCACCTCCTCTACCGTAATCCGCCTACAGTACCCAAAATCTTACGCCTGTGTTGTTTTTAATTGGTGGAAAAAGTTATTTCTGGAAACTATTTCTATACTACAGCTCTGTAACTATTTTGTGCATGTATGCTATTATTTTCCTTCTTACCAAAATGAGAATAAAGCATTCCCAACTTGAAAGAGGTGGAACCGAAAAATTCTTAACTCAATTATCCATTGGGACAGCACATTGACCAATAATTTATAAGATACTTTGCACGTGTATATCACGTGTGAGTTATTAACTCAATTTTAATTGTACACATATTCTGAAAGTATTTGTTTGAGTTGTAAAGTCTTTATGTAATGTTAAAGTACTGTATTAAATTATGACCAATTAATTCCACTCATAGTTTGACAGACCACCCTTTTCCTTCTTTTACTAAGAGACACTGAAAAGGTGTAACTTCTTGAAAACCGATTCTTGAAAAATTATAAGTCTTGGAAACAAAGGTAGCTTTTCTTCTTCCATTTCTTTAATATGATTCCTTTTTAATTGAATACTAACAAGTATTCACTTTGGTCCACAATAAGTCGAGTTTTTGACCAATATTGTCCATTATTTTTTAAGGTAAATCTATTTTGGTCCCTCAAATATAACCCTGAGCATATTTAGTCTCTTAAGTATGCTAAAGTGAAGCATATTTAGTCTCACTAACACAATATGTTCAAAAACTAACGTTGTTACCCAACTTTGATTCATGAAGTAAATCTTCTGCTCTGCAGCAAAACGTTTCCTCTCCTTTATTGGATAACACAAACTATCACTTTAATTTCTCATTTTTAGATAATGTCTTCTAAAATTTTGACCTTGAAAATATCCCCTTCTGTGCTAGTTTTCAATGAGAAAATGACACTATATAGTTTCTCTAAAAATAATAACCGAAAAGAAGTATGAAATTTGTATATTTTTTTGTATATATGTACATTTAAAAATTTCGGTTGATTTTTCTAAAAAGAAAAGTTACAATTTGAAAAAATAGAGCTGTCAGGATCACTTCTAGGCATATTATTGAAGCAAACGAATAACCATGTTGTATTATCACTTTTAGCCCGTGCTAGAAACNCAGTGTCATTTTCTCATTGAAAACTGGCACAGAAGGGGATATTTTCAAGGTCAAAATTTTAGAATACATTATCTAAAAATGAGAAATTAAAGTGATAATTTGCGTTATCCAATAAAATAGGAGAAAACATTTTGGTTCAGAGCAGAAGATTTGCTTCATAAATCAAAGTTGGGTAACACCGTTAATTTTTGAACACATTGTGTTAGTAAGACTAAAGGTGCTCCACTTTAGCATAATTAAGGGACTAAATATGCTCAGGGCTATATTTTAGGGACCAAAATAGACCTACACTAAAAGATAAGGGACAATATTGACCAAAAATTTTAATAAGTGACCATTTTATCTTTGACACACCCATTAAGGAAATACGAACTCCTAGAGAAATAAAGATGTATTTACTAAATTAACTTTAATTAATTATTAATTTGACACATTGGAATATGTAAATAAGGGTAAATTTTGAAAAAAAATAATATTAATTCCTTCTTGATTATATAAATGGACACTTATTTTGGACCAAAATAAAAAAGTAAAATGATCACTTATTGTGGACCAAAGGGAGTATGTACTAATAGCCTTTAAACCTTCACATGTAAGGGTAAATCTGGTACACATGATCCTCCCTACTTTTCACTTGTGGGATTACACTGAATTTATTGTTGTTATTATTGTTGTTATTACTAACAATTATGTACCATGACCGATAAAACAGAAAAGTTTGTACATGTTCCAAGGACAAATTAATAAAACTCTATATGAAAAAATGAATAATATTATAAAGGAAAAGTAAATATTAGTAATTGGACACCTGCGTTGCACGTATATTCTATATCAATTATTACATAATTTATGTATTCCTTGTATTTTACTTTTTTTTGTATGTTTCAATAAGAATGCCAATATTTATTCGATGCATATATAAGTCTCACTAATTTAGTAGAGATGTTATTCATTAAATTTCAGATAATATTATTCAGAACAATAGGACGCAGTTTAAAATAAAAATAAATAATTCAAGAGTAATAATATATATATATATTATTATATATATATATATATATATTATTATATTATAAAAAGAAAGTAGTATACAAATATATTAAACAAAGTAATATGCTAATAAAAGTTTCTATTAACAATGCAATGATACTAAATATTGGATAATATAATGAAGAAAAATACAAAAAAGTTATTCAATGACTATACAAATCTCTTTAATTTAATAGAATTTTATTCATTAAAATTCAGATAATATTATTGAGAACAATATGATTATTATTATTCACAGTTATTACCAAAAAAAACAATATGATTATTTATAATAATAAAATATTTAAAGAGTAATAAAATATATATCTTCTTTTATATTACAAAAAGAAAGTAGTAGACAAAAATATTAAATAAAGTAATATACTAATAAAAAATTTGTATTAACAATGTGATTATATTAAATATTGGATAATATAATAAAAGAATATATAACAAAAAAGTTATTCGATGACTATATAAGCCCCTTTAATTTAATAGAGATTTTATTCATTAAAATTCAGATAATATTATGACAACAACATAATACAATTTATTCAATAACTATATAAGTCCCTTTAATTTAATAGCGATTTTATTATTTCAATTGAAATTTATTAAAGCAATACGATCTAATTTATTCAAACAAGCCCGATCATAATTTAATTTATTTAATATTTTTTTAAAATTGACTACGCATCGCGCGGGTACGACTACTGGTATATTTAAGATCACAAGATTCAATAGAATATTTGTACGTTATACACTTCTTTACCTTAAGACACGAATTAAATCACGCTTATTTACACATAAAATATGACAGGCAAGTATAAACTAACAAATTCTAATTGCACACATGATATACAAAAAACTATCACGAAAATCAAAAAGGTTGAAAATCAGATCCTTAACTAATTTGAGAACGTGAGCTTACACTTTTAGAAGGGAAATTTTGGAGCAATGGTAAAGTTATCTCCGTATATTTGTGCCATGAAATTAGCCACT